CTCACTCTCGACTGGCATATGTGCAGGATCAGGAAACACAAGCCCAATGATGTCACGACCACCTGACCCAAGGGTGACAGGTTTGGAACGTGTTCTTGTCCGCTGCCCTCAGGCCAAAGTCAAGTATGTCAATGTTGTGCATGTGGATTTCATTTGAAGCAGCATGATTAGTTCACAGACGCTCAACTGCGATCCCCCTCCATGGGAAACCCACCCCGGACAGGAAACGGTATGTTTTTGTTAGCAACAAACAGGCATAAATTACTAAAATTGTGCCTTGGTTGCCAATTGATCACACACAGCAGTATTGTTGCTGTTTGACATCGACGTGTTTTTAAGGTAATTACCATTAGTTAATGATATTTACATTCCTGACAGTTTGTGTTGAAATGTGTCTGCCATCATATGTTTTTGCAATAAATGTGAGAATTGTTTTGTGTCTATTCTTCTTCATATATGAAAAATAAGCTTTATTTACTTGTTTTTTAAGCTGTCTCTGCAAGATTGGAGACGATTAAAGGTCCAAAGGGCAATGTGGTAGATTATTTAGAATTGTTTTAATATTTTAAATAAAGTAATTACTTATTTGCATTTGAAATAATAATTTGGGGACAATTTTGATTTTCTCAACATTTAATATTAGTCTTTATGATTAAATGAGTATTAGGAAAGCAATGGGCATTTGATTTGTGAATATTCTAAGGATGGTGGTATATAATTATTAATAAACCATTTCCATGGTTACAAGTATTTAAGTTTATTTGAATAAAGATCTTGGCTGAAACGCATTACAAGCAATGGTGTCTGTTGGGTGGGAGATGTTTTAGATACTTTCCTACTTTGAACTTAATAAAATGATATAGAATCCTTTGTGTTTTCATGTGTGAGATTTAGGAATATATTTGATAGAAAATTGAAAAAATGAAGGATAAAGCATTAATAATTTTTATTGAGCTACTGCTGGTGTGATACTACTGTTGCAAAAGTGTTATTATTTAGCATGGAGAGATAATATGGAGATACTACCAACAGAAGAGGCCATTACATACTGTAAGGTAAGAAACTCTCTGAAGACATGTTTATGTAAAACAAGCCCCCAGACCTTTTTATCATCATCTGGTCTCTCAAAGTTGACTACCGGTAGTTTCCCAACATTTGCCATTTAGACAATGTTACATTTGATTTGTAATTATTTAAAATGTTTAAAGCTGATTTGAGATCTGATGTTAGTGGCTGATTTTAGTCGAATGATTTAGTTTAATCTCATGTAAACTTTACTGTTGCTTTATTTAGAGCTGTATTATGACTGTATGCTTCAGTGTAGCTAGTTCATTTGAGGCTCCTTATTGTAGAATAAAGTGATATGGACCTATTTTGAGTTGCATCTTACAGTAAAGTATTAACTTGACTTATTCCATGATTTGACTATTGAGCTCCACATTACTTCTAACACATCAAAAAGTGTGTGTTTTACTTCAAAGAAGGACCTCATTACAATACCAAATATAACTCAATCAGCAGTTTTCTGTAAATACTGGCTTTTCAGGGCTTGCCTTTGGTTTTCTAAACAACCCTTGCCAGCATGCATTAATACCAATTATTGTTGTAGTAAAAGTTATACTCTGTCGGGGTCCTGCCAAATGCATTACAAAGAGCTCTATTAATGCAATTGTAAACAGATGTGCCACCCAACGCCAAAGTTGGAGCTGGGCTGTATATGTTTTCTCCAGAGGCATTACTAAATAAAACGCATTAAAGGAAAAGGCCTGTGGGGTTTATTTAATTAAATTATGCAGAAGTATGTAAAGTACCACAGATACTATAGAGACAAATTCAAAGTGTGCCCCGAAAGACAGAATTACATATTGGGAGCCAATCAGAATAAAGTCAATTGAAGTTAAAATACCAAAAGACCACATAATCACCTACAAGTCAAGTCTTTTATAAGAGCTGTTTATATCTAACCTACACACTATACACTGTATAAAACCTGCTGCATGTACAGTATGGCGTGCCCATGGGTTACTGGAGCACTCTAGTGTACTTTGAAACTACTGTATGTGCAGTTACTCCTGCTGTGTCAACAACTGTTTCCCTGTTAAAGCAATAAACTATATTCCAAGTGTTACTACTTTGTGTTGAACTGTGTCTTATTTTGCTTTCCTAACTTGTGAGGCTATTCCCCAGAGCGACGTCTATAGGATTGATATGTGTTCATAACCGAGCGTATATTGAACTCTTCCTTTAGGTGCAGGCTGAAGTTGTTAAAAGGCGCAGTGCTGTATTTTGTTTGCCAGCAAAATGTTGCATTGAGAAACAACACAAATGTCACAGTTATGTTTCTTTAATAATCTTTACAATGGGAAAAGCTAATTCAACATGTTTATGTATTTTGCATGTGAATGAAATAAATAGCAAAAAGAACAACAACCAACCAAAATATGCAACAAAAAAAAGTAGAGTTGCCCCCTTGAGTTCGGCAACGTTGCACCACAGGGTAGAAAAATAAGTGGGAGGGAACCTGCCATGGCTGAGGAGTCTTGGTTGTAGTGGAAGTCTTGGTTGAAATTGACAGCGAGGAATACAAAAGCACAAAAAAGGAGACGGCACACATCCTCACTGAGAGGACGCCGACATGAATACAGACCCCACTGCAACACTTCACCTGAAATATGTGTCATGATAATTGCCTTAACCCAGGTATAATTCAGGGTGCTTATTGTCACATTTGAAAACTGGTCACAAATTGGGTGCCTGAAGCTGCAAAGTGTCAGAGTTTAGGAGTTTTAAAAGTGCTCAGACTATATATGGCAAAAGTACTGCTGCTGCATTAAGTGTAAGATTTACATTTACTGGGATAAGTAGCCACAGAGCTCTTGAACTCTGATTTGACCTTAAAATGTAACTTCATACCCTGTGGAAATAGCAGTATCTTAACAGCCCCTGTGCCTAAATTGAAGTCATGGTGTACTGACACACCCTGAAGTACACTTCTACATCACTACAGCAAGCTGAAGGGTTAATCCACTGAGTTTAGTCAAACCAAAGATGTTCAGCTGGTGTTGTGTTGCTTGAAAGCTTCTTTTGGCAATATTATTGGCATAAAATCTGTTCTTCACGCTTTTTATAAGAGGACTAGCCTGAGGGATTCAGCTGTTTATGACGTTGTGATGCTGTAAACTGCCAAGGATTAATAGTTTCCATCAGCTAGCCTGACCCAGTAGCAACATATTTTATATACAGATGGAAAACAAAGCTGTTGGTAGATTCTGAATGTGTACGTGACTAAACTAGCCTATATTATTGCTCTTGAACTGGCATCAGGTAACACAGTGCACACACTGATGGTACTCTCTTTGCATACTGTGAAAGGCTCCAATCAGTAGTGTTCAGGTGACATGTGTGTATAATGACAAATAATAAATTGGAACAAGACATTAAAGCTGCAACAATTAATAATCTATTGTAAACAAATAAATACGTTTCATTTGAAAAAAAAATTCCTTCAGAAATACAAAAACTGGCCAAAGGAAGAAAAAAAAGAGACAGCACCAAATGACTCTGACTTTTTAAGGAGGAGGTATTTGTGTGCTTGCTTTATGGACAGCGATGAAGGCTGAAACAGAACGGCTCAATGATAACCCAACGATTTACTGCACGGACAGTTTTATTTTCAAAAACGCTGCACTGATGCTGCCGACCATTCACAGAATAAATACAAATTATTCTAAACCTGGAAATATGATAACACTATCTTCATGATACCGATTATGCACCATTATATCATGTATTTAGCACCTTATGAATATGAGTATAAATTGCATTTCAATGTTTTGTTCATGCTGCTGTTTGCAGCTGGATCAAACCTCAGACTGACTTCCTGTCCCAGAAATCACATTAGGATAAACACATACTATAAAATAATGTATTATGAAAACCTATTGGTTTGTGAAAAGATTCTTCTTTTTTATATTATGTAGAAACTGGATGAAGAAATATGTCTGAATGGTACAGTATAGTTACGGTTACTGTTTTCCTATATGATAAAGACTGCATCATATCATGTAAAATATACTTAATTAAAACTTAAAATAACAATTAATGCTTTCCTATAATGCTTGTTTTTCAATAATTCAGCATTTTAAGGCCATTTTTATTTACGATATGTTTAAAGATGTATTTATATATTTTGTGCGATAGTTTTAGTGGGACACTGAAGTAGTTTATCCTGAAAGACATTGAGCCATACTAAATTGCTTTTCAACATAAGTAAAAAAACACATTATTAAAAACACAAATGAAACACGGATTGAAAATATATTCCTCTGTACAAACTGTATTTACTCATAGAGAGATACGAGAGGTCTGACCAAGAGCACCATCAAAAATATTAAATAGAATATTCAGTAACGAAAACTAGCTACTTGAAAAATAAATCATACTGTACATAGATACACATACAACATACAACAACAGTCCTTTGTTGCTGTTCAATAAAGGTCATAATATTAACTCTTATACACAAATATACACTTGTGTACTTCTGATACAGGGTGAAGACAGCAATAACCACAAAGAACATTTACTTCACGCCTCATATATGAAATAAATATTTTCCAAAGTCATGCCTCTGCAAATATATGGCATTGTTGGACAACACTGTCCTGATTTATAGGTCTTAATTTGGAGTCTCTGCTTAAAATGGGACCCATGTGTTTTGAATGATCCCTTAAGTGGAGCAGCGTTGTGTTTTTGTGCTTTTCTTTCTGGATTCTAATCAGCACCATGCGACTGCAAGCTCTGGGTGGGCTGGAGCCAGCTAGCCTACAGTTGCGCTATATACCCAGCGCTCACTGCAGCGTCTCCGACAGTTTTAGGCTAAAAACACACTCAGTACACATCGTCTGAAGTCATTTTAGCACACACCATGTCTACTCACAGTGACGCACCCTCAGTGAGGAAGATAAGTGTTGGAGGAAAACGAGTGAGTACTATCGTACCGGCTTCCAGGGTCGGCGGTGCCAGGAGGCGGAGCCTGGGCAGGGCTGCAGGCTGCACTGCTCCATGTCGGGGGGCTTGTCCAGGATGTCACAGTTGTAGTCGTTGAGCCTCTGGCCGCTGGGCCTCTGACAAACCACCAGGCGAGTCCTCCGTCCTCCACCGCAGGTCTGAGTGCACTGAAGTAAGCAAACAAAAGACATTTATTAATGCATTTATTTTAGCGGAAAGTACATAATTCAACATTGTCTCTGGTTAAACACTAGCATTTGTTGTGATGTATTACATTCACACTAACTCAATAACAGAAGGGGACAATGTCAGTGTGTTACTATGGTGCTACCAATGCTTTTCGTCTCTATTTTCTACAAAAATGAGTCTCTAACTACTACCATATCATATAATTGAATGATAGTGTCATAATCTATGTCGTAATGTATGTATCTCTTCAATGGAGAATTTCTTAACTGACAATTAGGATAAAACACAAAAGATGTATATTTATTGAAGTTCAAAATGAATGTCAATGAAACTCTAAGTATCATCTCACCTCTCCCCATACTCCGTAGTTCCACAGCGGACAGGGTCCAGAGTCGCAGCTCTTGGACTCGGCAGGTTTGACCCTCTCATCGCAGTAACTGCTGCTGCGTCCATCAGCGTCCTGACAGACCACCACTCGCCTCTGGAAGCCCCCTGCACAGGTACTCGAACACTGCGGAGCAAACAGGGTGTCAATGAGGAAACACACATAGGTCAACAGAAACTGTGTTCATAAAAGGCCTTTATTTTATTTTTTTTAATTCTTTATTTATTTGGGGTCACATTATAGTACAAGTACAATTTTTCAAATCATATATTTTTAGAGACCCGAAAGTGACAAATGAAATAGCAAACAAAATTAGTCAAAGTAAAATAAAAAGGCCTTTATTTTAAACTCAACCTGTCTCACTTTTTCTGGAGCTTTTGACTGCAGCCCTCAGTTTCCCAGCAGTTTCTAATATATGACCACTTGTTATCATGTATGTTAAGTTTGTTGTACAAAGTCACAACTTCTATTGTTTAAAGAAGGCAATGTGATAAGGTTGAAAGCTACCCATAATGTGAATACTGTAGTTAAAGAACTCCATCTTCTAACATCTTATAGCTTAGTCAAGGAGTTACAGAATCCAGTGATTGAAACCAAAAACAAAGCAGGCACACATATTGAATGTAATATGTAAACAGGAAAAAACACAATAAACATCCAACCTCTTATGTTGAATTAACCTGAGTATAACCCAGACTAAACGCTGTTCAAAATGATCTCCTAATGATTGAAAACATCAGTCCATGAAGGACAATCTCAAAGACTGAACAACTCAGCCTTGAACAGAGCAGTAGGTACACTCTGCATCCAATTAAAATGACACATCCCCACTGTGAATGGGAGTGAGCACATTCAACGCTCTCTAAATGTGAGGGAGGACAGCACAGAGTGAGCCTGAACAGCACTGCTTCCACTCAGCTTTAGAGAGTGAGACTGAACAGTGCTGGGATGAATGCCTCTGCTGGGGAGGATTTGGAGAGAAGAACAATGTTGTTCTCATGGCTTTCGAAAAATACCCCCCCCAAAAAATCCTCTATCTCCTTCCAACAGGCACAAAGTTCATCTCTAAAATAAAGTTTCACCGTGAAATAACCAGGGGGAGTAACAGCCATTTGTTAACTAACTTGTGCTTATTAGGTAAAGAGTGAATTTAGCGCCAACTTTAAAAATGTAAACTATGCTCTTTTAAAGCCAAGAAGAGTTCTTAGCTCTAGTGTTTCGATAATGGTCTGGTCTGGGTTCACAAGTGCAATTTCATGGCAAAAATGATGCCAAATTGCACCATGCAGGAAAAAACAACTCAACCCCAACCGCACAAATGCCCCTATTTTGGCATTAGCAGTTTCAGTTCAGAGGTAACAATGCCTGACTCGGTTAAAAGGTGAATCAAAATAACTGAGCCTGACAAAAAGAACATAGTGCCTGGCACTATATGTTCAAGGCCAAGGACATTAAGATAATTAGGCGGCTAAACTGCCAAACCATTTGGGTTTGTTCGTGCTTAATCCATTTGAGTCTCTACCTTGGAGGTAATTTCGATTTTTTCATGAAAACACAGAAATAGGCTCCTAGGTGTCTATACAAACACACCATATAAATTCACTCTGCAGTGCCTAGTATGAGTTGCAACCTGTCCCTTGCTGCTGTTTGTAAAGTCCTTTACCATGTATGGCCCTCTGCCCTGGGAAATGAAAACATCTGCTACCTTCAAGTGAGTGTGTTCACAAGAATGTGTTTACAGACAGACACACTCAATCCTTCATGACAACACCTCACATACTATGAACCGTCAAACATAAAAAAACATTTAAAAAAAAGTACTAGCTGTCTTATGAAAGTCAAAGGCCAATACGGAATATTTACAAGGCTCCATGTGATGATCTGAAGTGGTTTCCTGCACTTGACGAGCAAATAATGCAAATTCTGACTGCTATTTCTCAAAAAAAGATTCTACTTAAAGACAAAACACTTCTGCACAGCCCCATTTCCCCAAAGATCACATGCTGAACATACTGCGCCCCAGGGTCCGGTCCTCCACTGGTTGTCGGCTGAGGGCACGTTCCAGCTGCTGTGCCCGGGGTGGCGTCCTGGGTCCTGGGGATATCCGTATGGCTGGTCGTTGATGCGCTGGCGGTTGTAGGGGGGGGGGCAAGGTGCACCGGTACACTCTTGTTCTGTTGCAGGTTTCTCATCGGGGTCACAGAAAGACTGGTCCACAGGTTGGTGGTAGTTAGAGCAGACCACCTGCCTTGTGGTTCTTCCAGCGCCACAGGTCACTGAACACTGGGGAGAGGGAGGCAAGGTGTTAAAATCTTAGGTGAGGGAGGGGGGAACTACATTTTACAAGCAAAGAACATTTGAAACAATTGAGTCATGTCATTTAATCTTGAATGAAATTAAATAATTAATAATCCTCGAATTCCGATAAATTGCATGCTAGATATCGCATAAAGTTAGAAGTCACAATGAAAGAATATACCAAATGTGATGGTCTGCATTACTATGAGTACTGTGTACTAAACTGAGGTGATTTGAGTACTTGTAGCAGACTGCCTGCCAAGTATTGATTCATAATGTCTAGCCCAATACGTCTGTAACTGTGGAAACATCAGGAGTAAAGATCTACTAAATATGACATGCATTTAAGCAACTTAAGACTTTATCCTGTGGGCTTTGACATTTAAAGGACTTCATTTCACATAAACACATGATTAAAAGATCATGAAAATAATCTGTAAACAATCCCAGCCCTGTTGTTTTAGTGACATCATCCAGAGTTTTGGCTCTCTTGCCAGGCTGGCATTCACAAATCAATAGAAAACTGTCCAAGATCCCAGCGGTACCAAATGCCCATTAAGTTTCAGCGTGATTTGAACATTGTGGGAGTGATTAGTGAAAGTCTCTGGAGTGGAACACATACGCATTGATTGGACACAGTGTTGCATAGTTTACTCACAGCAGACCACTCCCCGGCACGCCATTGGCCACAGGGGCTGAAGCAGGCGGAGGACTCGGGGGGCCGGGGCAGGTGGGCGCAGTTGGACTCGTCGGCGACTCCTCCCTGGGCATCTCTGCAGCTGACGTAACGCGCACGCTTCCCCTTGCCGCAGGACACAGAGCACTGGAGACAAGCACATACAAGCAGAGATAAATATTTGTAGTGTGGAAATAAAAATACGTTTGTATGATGTAGTTTTAAAGTGATTCTATCAGCTTTATTCTACTTTCAAATGTATCATGAGGTAACACAGTGACCGCAAATGAACTGCTTTGAAGTGCCATGTACTATGAATACAATATATATCATGTATGTATGGGTATTTAGTACCTGTAGTAGACATATAATTACACATATTGTTTTGTATATACTGTAAAGCGACATTGATAAGCCATAATTATGTTACCAAAAGGCCGCTTAAAGCACACAATACTGTATAAAGAAATAACAAAATCCAAAAAGAAAATCTCAGCATTCCTTATTATTTTATTCATAAGTTTGCGTGCATTAAAAATACTTTTGGTCCTTTTGTGCCATCGGAGTGTGAAGACTTTAATTTGCGTATAATTCAAGTATCATTCGAGTTTCAGGATGATTACTTTTAATACTTGGCTTGTTTGTAGAGGAAAGGGTCTTAGAATTCAACAATACTTCATGACATGGATTTATGTTGTAAGAAATCCATTATTAAGAATCCATTACATTTTCTTTCATGAAAGTTATATTTTAGGGATTCTTTACCCAGTGTCACAAATAAATGCTTCTGAGAATTTCTTAACTGTTGCTTGTGTCCTGAAATGACTCCCTGACGAACTTTCACTTGCTTACAATATATCTTTATCGCTTCCATCTCAAAGGGACATGGCAGTAAACATTTCAGAAGAGATGAATACCTAATGCAATCAAATGGCTCCAGCTCAAACAGGCATGTTAATATCCCTCTCATATCAGTGACTCTCTAAAGAGGATGGCAGTTCTGCTGCCCGGGGGGGGAATGTATGCATGTGTAGGTGTGCATGTGCTGTGTGTATTATGTGTGTGTGTGTGTGTGTGTATTATGTGTGTGTGTGTAAGACCACACTGGCGCAGGCCTCTTTGACATGTGAGCTCACAGCGACTTTCAGATTGACAGACGGGGTTCAATCTTAGAAACCGTAGACTCGTGTTTAGATGAAATCTGGTTTTCATTTGCGACAAGTAACAATGCGAAGCATCAGAGAGACAGAGGGGCCTCTCAGCCCAGACAGTGGAGCCTGTGTGTGTTTGCACGTATATGTGTGTGTGTGTACATGCAGCAGGGGGTAAAACAGACAATGCCAAAGAGGATTATGATCCTGTACAGTATGTACTATCTGAAGGAATGTTGGGATATACAATAAAAGTTGAATATAACTACTTAATATTTGCAAACACACATGCAAGAGACCCATCATTGCTGAAGTGTGGTTTTCTTCAATTAAACACAGAAACATATACTGTACACACACACACACACACACACACACACACACACACACACACACACACACACACACACACACACACACACACACACACACACACACACACACACACACACACACACACACACACACACACACACACACACACACACAACGTTTTTCAGCAGTATTCTTTGTTAAAAGACAGAAGTTAGTCAGATTCCGGAGCCCAGCAGATTATTTCCATCACGCTACACGCTGAGTGCAAGCATTTGTTTACCATTCAACCAAAAATGCATGTGTATATATTCTTTGGACTGTATAAGGTAAACCCACAGACAGCTATGTTCTGCGATAGACCTAATAAACCCAATTTGTTTCCTTACCGCAGTCCAGGAGCCGTATCTCCACTGAGTCAGCAGCTGTGCGGAGTTGTCGGGGCGAGGCGTGCTTTGCACCGGAGAGGCCCACGGACACACCGGCATCTCACAATCCTAATAAAATAAACATGCAAATTAAGTCAAATTTGTATTATTTGTATGTCAAACATCACTATGTTGAAGTTACAAGTACAAATATTTCTTTACACATTTCAGAGACTCAGGTTCAGGATTTCTCCGGCTGTGCAAAAACCTTTATTGTATAATTCAATTTACAGAGCTGATGCACCCGTCTTATGCAATGCCCTAAGGTGACCCTTACTAGTGACCCTTACTAGTCTTACTAGACAGAATAGACTGGAAGGTCATCAGTTCAACACTATCTGCCTCATTTAGTGTGTCCATCACTGACTAAGAGCACTTAAACCACTCAGGTAAGGTTTGCTGCAGCCTTATGGTCTGTGTCCACCTAGATTTGGACTTTGGGGTCAAACCAGAGCAAAACATGGAACCTTTTAAAGATGCTGATGAGGTTAACCAGGTTAGGATCAATATCAAAGAGTGAAGACCAGGGGTACTTTGCAGGTGCTTGGATCTGCTTATCTCGCAGCTTTAGACCAATTTAAAGATGCTTGGCAAGCCTAAACCTGACAGTAACCGGGTGCTTAAGAAGTCGTAAGGGAGCTGGGAAAACCAATATCAATATATTGACAATATATCATATGAACTGACTGAGAATTATAACTACAGCTCTGCTCGGCTCTAAGCATTTTAGCATCTCATTGTTTTGGTTTTCCATCCCATCCCTCTACAACTGAGTGAACATGAGAGTACTTTGCAGTCAGCTAATTCCCTTTGGAGTTGCTGGAGACCAAAGGAAAGTACCATTTTTATTTAAAGCGCATATGCTAGGCTAATGTTGCTTCGTGTCTACTGGATGTTTAAAAAGAAAGTTGTTTCCTAAAGTGATAACGGGCAAAAAGTGTGTTTACAGCTTGATTCCACTACTTTAAAGTGACCCAAAGCAGAGACATATTCGATAAAAGAGTAGCCTGCTTTTTGAACACATGGTGAAAATAACTTTGAACAAATATAATGCTTGTAAAAAATCGGAGGAATCCTGTAAGCAGCTAAAGATGCTGACGTTGGTTTGGATTTTTATTTCTTAACCCTTAGAGCAAATCACTGTCTCTTGAAAAGAAAAAAGGAATTAACCATAAATGTTTGGAGAGTAGATGAGAAGTTGTTAACGTTTCTTATTTTTGTTACCTGACTGTCTCTTGGCCTTGCCGCGGCGTTGCACTCTCTGTCGTCTACCGTGTCACCATAGGTCCCAGACACACACCTAACAGCTCTCATCTGGTAGCCATGGCCACAGGTCACCGCACACTGAAAGAGAAAATCACACACATATGTACACACACACATTAGTACAAGAAGAGAAGCCCAGTCAACCGCAAGTTATCTCAAACTCTATCTAAGTATGTCAATGTTGATATCTTAGACAGGGCCTCAGTCTAGATTCAGCTCAGTAGAGCCTGGGTAAGAGTCTGACATGCATGCACACACATACACACACATGGACACACATGTTCACATACACACCCCGAGTTTCAACCCGAACCTTAACCTAATTCCTTACTTACATAGGAGGCGATCCGACCACATTCAGCTACAACACGAGAGCAGAGGAAGTGCCACAGGATAGGTTTATTTGAAGAGCAAATTATAATTACACAAGCATTAAGGAGCCGATATATTCCAGCTCTGTAAATACCACTATCTGACTTCATTCAAACACATGTGGGAGGGCATTAGATCGAGATGTATAAACTAAAGACGCCCATTCATAGATGTTGTATTCAATTTGAGCTAAACCTAGGACTAAAGCTATACAAAAACAGTTTGGATCCGAGAAATTTGAATTCATAGAAAGGGAGGTGTGTGTGTGTGTGTGTGTGTGTGTGTGTGTGTGTGTGTGTGTGTGTGCACTGTGGATCAGGTTTAGTCTGACAGGATATGAGGGTGAAGTGAAAGCACCATGGAGGAAATGGCAGCTCGAGTCAGAGCACACTCCTCCGTAAGTTGCCGGCATATCAGGTTACACGCACGCACGCACGCACGCACGCACGCACGCACGCACACACGCACACACGCCTACACACACA